ATCTTCCGTAGACCTATATTTACATTTTTCATTTAAAATTGGGAAAAAGCATGAATATTTTTATTTTTACAAAAAAAGAAATTGTACTTAGTCAAAAACTCATCTTCAATAAATGCTTTGGCTTCGTTAAAAGACTAGAAGACCACATCTTCACACTAAGTTAAAATGTGTCGCAAGTGTCGTGTTTTGCGACACGTTGTAGAACACATTAAAGTGCGATACAAGGAGCTCACTGCGACACATTTTCTCCAGCAGGACCACGACACATTTCGTACGACACATGTGACACATTTTCTATTGATCCTTTTGGAAAATCATATTTCGATGTTTTTTTTTCAATTTAATTCCATTTAATTATTCCTATTCTAAAAACTCAAGCTGGTCAGATCCTGGGATCTGTCGAATCTCGAGTTGATCTGATTTGTATCAGACTGCTTCAGAGTGGTCCTCTCACGATCATAGATCGAGATTGGCATTTTCTCGATAAAAAAATAATCGAGAAATAATCTGGAAAATAAAAATAATTTTAACTTTTTTTTTCTATGTTAAATCACTTTGTTTATATATGACCATGTGTGCATAATAAAACGGTGAACGAATAGTCAGCAGACAGAACGCGACAAATTCGTATACGACACATTCTAAGCAGGACACATTTTTCTGCTGGAGTGTGCGACACAATAATTCACGACATATAAACACGCCACATATTTATTTAGTGTGTTTATATTGCAGCAATATCATGCAGATTTTTCCCAAATATAACCTGTAGTGACACAAACTTTTGAAATTTATAGAACCAATAGTTGATATCGAACGTTTTTGACTTTAGCTTTTCCCCATATTTAATGAATAAAAATCATGAAGAATGGGAGTCGGTTATTTTTTTGGGATTACTCAGGTATCATCTGTATCGCCGGATTAATCGAGCTTATGGATGCAACAAGATCATATAGAAATTCGTCTTTTGTTATAAGGAAATATCCTTCCTATGCGACCTCGATTTTCATAATGTATTCAAACAAGCTTGTTAGAAATGGTGTATCCTTATCAAATCATAATCTCGAACTTTCAAACTCTTAATCATGTCTAATCTATTTTCTAGATGATTAACGATCCTGCATGTATTCTCTGTCACCCAGACACTGATCAATCCTTTCACATATGTGAGGGTTGCAAGCGCATTAGAGGAATTGGCGAACGTAAAATATTCTTCGATAAAAGTCTTAATACTCTTCAACAGAAAGCAAAAAGACTATGGAAAACTGGTGGTGATTTAGACGTCTTGAGGGGTACATGCCAATTATTGAAAAAATGTGTCTCCGAAATATGGTTCTCGTTTATTCCTATCAATAACTTCATTAATGGATACCATCAAAAAGATGACACTGCAGAAAGTTACATCAAGGATCACCCAAGATTCAGAGGTCTCGTACCGATAAGCAATGAGGCTGATGGTAACTGCTTATTTAATTCGATTAAAATCCTTGGAAAACTCACTGAATCAGTATCTGAGTTACGCGTACGTTCTCTGCTCGAAATGATCATCAATTACGATCAATATATTGAATACTACTCTCATCTCGCACTAGAAAATGGGGCTGAAAATATACTTGAATATTGTAGTCAGGCAAAAATGAACCAACATTCTCAGATATGGGATGTACTCGGTTTGTGCGATGCATTGAAATGTAGAATTAAACTGATGTATTTTCATGAACGCCCTCTACTTCCGTTACAAGATTGGATCTACACGCCAACTAAGAACCCAATGGGCACTATACATGAAATAACAATATTATGGACATGTGCATTTCGCAAAGAGCAACTACGGGATTCTAATGAACGATTCCATGCCAACCATTTTGTTTCATTAGTCAGGTATACTATAAAACATTTGAAAAATTTTATTCATACTGTTTCTATTCATCATTAATGATCTTTCTCTTTGCATTTTATTTAGAGCGTCAGAAGACTTATTAGATATTACAGGTAATGCCACGCTTCTGAGTTTTTATCAGTTTTTAGAAAAGTTTAGCCTTACGTTGTCATCATGATTATTATTTGAATCGCCAAAATCATCAGAAAAGATTGGGTTTTTTTAGTAAGACAGCTTTTGGTGTTTTCCTTTGTGATTGCCTAGCTATATCCATACTTGTCACACTTACATATACGCAAAACTTGAGAATGAGATGTTCACTTGTTACTTATTGATAGGACTAAGTATCCAAGCAGCCGAAACCGAAACTATCTAAGTATTTAGGTATCTAGATTTTCAAATATTGAAACCGAAGCATAATATACATGGAAGTGTACAAGTAGCAGGTACATTTGCAAGTGAGAATATTATGTAATTAGTATATGAAATAGTTCAATTGTTGAAGCTTGAAAAATTGCCACTAGTGGAAAAAGAGTTTAATGATGAAATAATTAAATTCAGTTTTTATGTCTGATACTATGCGACAGAGAAAATAAAAATATTGATCACATCTTGTTGTTACTGATTGTGCAGTAATTATTTTTAATAACAAGAAAAATAGTATTTTGATATTTTTCACACAAACTACAATCATCAGTGATGCTAAGTAAAGACTAAGTCTTTTTTTAAAGTATAGGAAAAATGTTTTTTCATTATACTAAAGAAAGAATTTGATTTGGCTAAATGATTATTCACAAACTAAATACTTTGGCAGTTGAAATTTCGACAAAGAAAAGACTCATCAGTTTTCGCGAAAGCTTCTGTTTTTAGTTAACAAAAATAAGACAGGTGGGGAGGGGTCATTAAGCGATGAAATCGATTCCCACTCGAAATTGAGTTTCATATTTTCCCAACAGTCAACTTAGATGGCAGAAGTTGGTTGCCGTTCGAATTAAACCATTAGACGTCATGCCAACTGCACGCGGCTGGTTCAAAACTCGATATGATCTATCCCCGCTAGAGTCATGGTACGCAGTGTTCGTATGAAAAGTCTTTCTTCTGTCTTCTATTCTTTTCATTTGAGTTATAACCTACGTGTAAAAGGTCTTTGCGCAATATGCCTGTTCGATTTTCGTCTACTTATGGATTGCAGGAGAAAATCAAATGTTGTCAGCTAGAATGAGAATTTCATGGTCTTTTTAAATATATATTCAAGACTCTTTTCTGACTTGAAGTTGATTTCGTGAGAACAAATCTCTGATAGGGACCAAAAACGACGTCTATAAAAAACAATAGTTTCACATGTCTTTGTAAGTATGTTTACTCATTCTTCGGACATTGAAATGTAAATGAAGAGGATCAAAACTATTTGTTGAGAACTAGAATGCAATCCTCTCCCTAAATATATCTTTAGAATTTAACTCTGGCTTACAACTAGTTAGCTGTAACCAAACACCTGAAAGAATAAAAAATGTCAATTGTGCCATGCAAAATAGGATTTTTTCTATCATGCCCAATTTCTCGAGAGAGTATTTTGGGATAGTTTTTAGTTTCTATTTTTGTATAAAATTTAATGTTCTGAAAAAACATAGATTGCAATAAGCTAGAACTCAAAAGAGTCGAAATTTACGAATATTTTTAGAACTGTCATTTTTCAGATGAGATGATATTGTTTTCAAAATAATTATTTTTCGCGAAGTAAATTAGCCATTTTGTAGAGCAAACTCCTTTCTACAAATTAGTGTATAAGAAGACTCTTATTACTTGAATTGAGGCGGTCTTAATCAGAAGACAAAAACGAACTACACGAAAAACTCTGTACAGACATCGTATTTGGTCCTTATCAAAGGTTTGTTTTCAATGAATCAACTTTAAGCAAGAAAAGAATCTTGAATATATATTTTGCAACAGCATGAAATTCTCATTCTAGCTGACTACATTCGATATTTTCTTGCAATGTATAAGCAGACGAAAATCTAACAGATATGTTGTGCAAAGACTTTTTACACGCAGATTATTTAATCTTTTGAAAAATGTCACTTTTTAAATATCTTTTTTAACAACCAGACGAGATTTTACACAGTCAAAAAAAATTATCGGAATCTTTTCTTACATAAATGAAAAAAAACTTTTTCATAGAAAAAAAATTCATATTTAGTTTAGATGCTCGACGAAAGTTTTTTTAATCGTAATCGTCAGCAACCATATTCGAATCTTGTTAGCGTCCATGATGATTCACTTGGACGCTAAACGATGATTAAGATGCGCTTTCTAGTCTAATTGGCTTAGGACAACTGCCCGAATAGCAGGAGGTATGGGTTCGAGTCCCATGAAGGTCATCTTTTTCATCGTTCTGTCACATAACATCAGTGACACTGCTTGTCTCTTTCGTTTTATACATATGGAGCTAACAAATCTTCTCTTCTGCATTTATTCGATAAGTATCGGCCGCTCTGAAATGAGACAGCTACGGGACATCATTTTGAGTGTGGACGTGGGTTCATAAGAACACATTTATTATTTTCTGAACATATCCTCCTATACTAACAATCGAAGGGTTTGTGCTGTAAGTTAATAAGACTAGACATATTTGGGCCAAATTAAAGCTCTCACTGCCAAACTAGCAAATTTAAAATATGAGCTACCATTGGCGTGCATAGACGGATATATTTGAATTTTACTGCATTTACAGTTTCAATAGAGAAACGTCGAAACATCAGAATTATGTACCTCCATTTCATATATAATCAACTAAGTATTTCGATATTACACTTCAAAAACCTTTTTGAGATTCATGGAATACATTAATATCATACTAGTTTCGATGTCTTCTGAAACTTTAGTGGTATAGTAATAGAAAAAGAACAGTTCTACTTCATCAAAACTCGCATATCATTCATATTTGTGATTTTATTATGACTGAAATCAATATATGGTACATGATGTTCAGTTAATATTTCAATTCATTCACTTCAAATGCAAACGTACGTCTTCAATTAAATCATAGTAACAAAGGTGTTTTTTACACCAAGCACAAATTAATAATGTTTGTTCATCGCAATTATTAATTGAGCAATAGAGATCATAAAATTTGAAGCAGATATCTTTTGGTTTTTTGAATTTCTCCAATAGTTTCGCTTGTTATTCCAGCTTGTATGAATCCAGACTTAATAAGATTTTGAAACTGTGGAGCTGATAATTGATTGTGAATAACAGAGTGTATATTAATGTAATATTGGCGATCAGTTATATTAAATTCTGTACGATTGATATGAGTGTAATGTTCGATTTTCTTATGAATAAATCTCCATGAACGAAATAAGGATAAATCTTGCGGTTGTACATGACCAGTTGATCCTTCGAGAAAAATCAATAATTGACTATCTTGATCTGGAAATACTGCTCTAAATTTTCTTAGATCAGCTTGGGTTTTCCAAGAATCAAGCAAATGAAGAAATTTTCTACCAACCAAAGGATGTAGAACTTCATTTAAAAAAGTGCGATGTTTTTCATCGCTGCTTTTTCCAGATTTTGAAGCTTGTACTACAACATTTGGTGGTATAATTAAATATTTTTGTACTCTTTTACCGATCTGATCATCTTTTTCTAGAAGGATAAGCAAGAACTTGTCTAATAAACGATTGTCAGCTGAGGTCACAGGTTGCACTGTATAAGAGCGTGTTATTTTGTTCTTCTTTTTAACAGCAGCTTCTGTTGTTCTTTCGCCAGTAAAAGACAAAGTTCTTGGAGAAACATATTCTTGTTGAAATGAACAATGGTCACTATTTTAAATTTCACGAGAAGAATAATTCGAAATTAAAGGTATTTTACTTTCGACTCATTTTTGAGCATCTAAAAGACACATATATTATAGTAACACAAATATTCTATAATCTCCAAGGACAGTTTAAATACCTTCTAAAGCGCAAACTTTTCTTGTTGAGCTGAGTCATGTTATAAGTTTGTTGTATCTTCTGGATGAAATTCGATTTTCTTTTTTGACGTCTTGATAAATGATTGACTTGCTTAAAAAGTATGCCAATTTAATTCTCTTGCCTTTTGAATCGCATAAAGTTCTAAATCAACATCATGAACGGCTTCTTTTTCGATTGTTCTTTTGTGATAAAATTCATTCAACATAGGGGTATGGCCAGCTAACTCTGCTACCGGAGTGAAATTCCGTAACGTTTTTCGCTTATTTTGTTTTCTCGATAAATATCAGGCAGTAGCACGTGAAGAGTTGCGAGACATCATAAATTAAAGAGAAAAGTCTTGTACATATTTTAAGATATTTTTCGCTTTTGGAACATTTGTCGTTTCCAAGATGTAACAAAAGAATTGAACACCACTTTTGAAAAAGTAATAATTTTCAGAATTGAAAAGTAGTTATCAGTTTTTTAATTATATCTTGGAAACGACAAACGTTCCAAAAGCGAAAAATATCTTAAAATATGTACAAGACTTTTCTCTTTAATTTAAGACGTCTCGCAACTCTTTACGTGCTACTGCCTGATATTTATCGAGGAAACAAAATAAGCGAAAAACGTTACGGAATTTCACTCTGGTAACAGAGTTAGCTGGCCATACCCATAGACTCTTTTATTTTTTCAAGTTTTTCAGGCCTGGTTCCACTGTTCTTGATATATTCTCTAAATCTTGTGATGTAATTCATGGATTTGACTTTTCGAAAAAGGTGAGAAATAGTTGAAAACCTAGCATTTGGATGTTGATCAACCCATTCAAATATTTTTGTGGAACTCACATATATTTTCGAAGAAAATAGTGAATGTAAGTTTTAAGTTCAAGTTTCCACGGCTCTTCCCCTCCCTCCCTATTACAGACACCCCCTCCCCCATTACAGACCTTAGCAATCAAGAAGAACAGGCGTCAGATTTTCTAGTTTTTTTGAAAAATTGATCAAGTTATAATTTTGAAAGATAATCAACATCATTGTTTTTGAGCTGATTAATATATATAATAGTGCGTAACATCTTCTGTAGATATCATGGATATGTAAAACAGTTTTATTTGCCAATTAATTCAATGATTATAATAATAAGAATGTTGAATTACGACAAACGAATTAAAAAAAATGAAAGATAACTAATGAGCGAATAGCAACAATGCAAAATAAAAATAGTGCACTCTCAAACAAAAAAAATGTTCTCTTTTAAATGTAGAAATAAATAACAAAGTTTCGCTCTTGTCATTGATTATCGATGAAAACAACTACAATGTACACGAAATTTTTCAGTATACATATGATGCATTAGAATATTAAGATTTAAGGATATATGTGAGTTCCACATTTCAGCTCGAAAGGAGCTGCGCTAACAAACTTTTTCCATTTCATCTAAAGTAAATTGATGCTTAATGTCCACGTATTGGTTTTCATCGTAATTGTCATCTTCCTGATTGTTCTCTTTTTTATCAGACATTTCGTCATATTCATCATCGAATTCAAGGGTTTCATAAGTAGTAAGTTCACTAAAATAACTGTCCTTGAATGACTTCAGAACTTCGAATAATTATTGTGCGACAAAAATTTCATCGTTAGTTTTCGTAGAATCTTTGAAGTAAAACTCAATTTGAGTCAAATATACAAGATGTTTCGCGATGTTCAATGAATTCATGCTCCAATTTGATAAACAAACTGTTTTAAGCGATTAATGCAAAGAAGAACAAAAGAGAATGATTTATCGATAATATATCTCTTTGTGATTTCTTAATACCAATTGTAAAGAAACAGTCAATCAGACCATCAAGTGATGCATCAAAGCATTTAAAATTCAAACGTTTTGCGTACGAATCATTTTTCAAACACAATACATACTCATCTTCCACATCTATACTACAGATATTTCAGAAAGCATCAAAACTAGTATGATATTAATGTATTCCATGAATCTCAAAAAGGTTTTTGAAGTGTAATATCGAAATACTTAGTTGATTATATATGAAATGGAGGTACATAATTCTGATGTTCCGACGTTTCTCTATTGAAACTGTAAATGCAGTAAAATTCAAATATCTCCGTCTATGCACGCCAATAGCAGCTCATATTTTAAATTTGCTAGTTTGACCCGAATATATCTAGTCTTATTAACTTACAGCACAAACCCTTCCATTGTAAGAAAAGATGCTATTGTACCTCATAGATCCCAGGCATACCATCGTTGCCACGTGGATTATCACCCACATATTCAAGTGAAAAAGCCCAAAGCAGGATTTTTTATGCCTTTTTTCGTTTGGTTGGTTTCTCAGTGATTTCTGATGATATTTGGAAAATGGATTTTTGCAGCGTTTTTTTGGTGCTTTTCATGTTCGATAAAAGATTCATGAGAATTTAATCAGCTGCTAAATGTAATATTAAAACTGCGTTGTCTCAGTAAGTTTCGAATGAGGGCTAAAAGATAGAGTAGAATCATTTTTTTTTGTTCTTTTTTTGTGTCCATACGATCATATGTGGCCATTTTCTGAGGTAGTACGACACTAATTGTTGGTGTATAGTGCCGTGTACGTCGAAAATGGGACCGCGTTACGACGCATATACTAATGTAAAGTTTTGTAGTATTAAGCCTGTCACGTATTGAAGTTATATGTAAAAGCCAGAAAATGTATTGTATTATCAATTGCGTAATACAATAAAGGTCAAGGTCAATAACTTGTTTTATTGACTTGAAGAACAGAAACAACTAACAAGTTAGATGAAACGAAACGAACAAAAGTAATCATCTTTTAAGAAAAGACAAGCATATATATATAGAGAGATCTATATGTTGTGATGACTCATACAAATGGAATGCAGAATATGAAAAAGAAACAAAAGAATGTTTTTTTTTTATTTTGCGTTTCCATGTAACACTCGGAAGTGTTTACATTATGAATTAATTAAAGATGATTTTTTGTTTCAATATAAGCTACAATTTCCGTGCAAAAAGTTATACAGCATTCACCTTTGTCTGCGGGTACTAAATATTGAATCAGCAAGTGAGAGTAATAAGAGAGAAAAAAAAACAACAAAAAATGTAAAGAATTGGAGTAGAAGCGACCGCGTGAAGAGAGAAAGAAAAAAAAGAAAAAAAAAGAAAACGACGTTTGTAAAGAGAGGGAGAGAGAGAGAAGAGAGCACCATTTCTCGTGCACCTATCTTCACATGTAATTATACTATTTCAATGAACGATATCCATTTTAGAAGAAGCGATTCATGTTTGTTTATCAGTAATTTAACTCGATTGTTACGAAAAAACTGGCCAAGGCGATCATTTTTTTCTCTTATAAAACTCATCCCAAAAGAAAATATCGTTATAGAAGAGTGAGCGGCCTAGATCCGTTGTGTGGATGTTTCTCAGTCTTTTTTTAATATACTGCTTAACGTAAACATCTAATGAATGTTCGTTGGTCATAGTGTATAGATTGCCAGCTGAGACAAAGGGACAGCGATGCACCAGTCGGAGACCTACACGAAACTTCCGTTGTAAAATTTGTTGTTGTGATTCTGGAAGTAGAGGGAAAAATGGAAACAGTCATGCAAAATGTGGAAATGTGTACGCAAAAAAAGCATTGTCTCAATGCCTTAGTGGACATGTACCTTCTTGTTCTTAACCATCCAAATTTAGCAAGAGATCTCTGAGTATTCTCTATAAATCTGTTTATTGTTGGTTTTAAGGAGAGTTTACTCGTGCATGTAAATCCTAAATACTTAAATTCATTTACAATTTCAATTCTTTG